CCTGATATGACACATATGAAAAGTAATAGTCAAGCTAGAACCCATTCAAGCTAGAACCCATTCATTACAAGTTTTAGAATCCCAGTCAGAAATCACAAAAAGCTCTCCACCACTTTGATCATCTTCCACAACATCAGCCTCCGATGTATTAACATGTTGTTTCCCTTTCTCCATAGCACTAGCAACTTTATTTCTATTTTTCAAGACAAAACAATCAGCTCTAATATGCCCCTTCTTCTTGCAGTAATGACATATCTTCTCAGCATGTCTACACTTCGATATGCCCCTCATATTTCTGCCAAGATTCCTATCTTGATTCCTCCCACGCACAACCAAGCCTTCAGCATGATTTCCAAATCCTCCAGCAAGATGCCTCATCTTCTTCTTAGATAGTAAAGCATCATAGACTGCTTCCACGGCGAGAGTATCCTGACTATAAAGAATAGTATCTCTAAAAGTCACATATGATGGTGGCAGTGAACACAATAACATCAAAGCCAAATCCTCCTCATCATACTTAACCTCCAATATCTCCAAATCAACCAAGATTTCTTTGAACATAATTAAGTGATCATCAAATGACATACCTTCAGACATCCGGTGAGAATACAAGGGCTGTTTCAAGTGCAGCTTACTGGTCAAGCTCTTTGTCGTGCAAAGTTACTCCAACCTCAACCACAATACAGTTGCACTCTTCTCCTTAAGAACATCTTGATGAATTTGATTCAAAAGATGTAGATGAATTTGAGATTGGGCTTTCCGATCCCTACGCCACTTTTCATCATGCGTCCAGATAGCAGGCATCTTTCCAAATTCAAGCAAAGTTTCCTCCAAATCCATTTGCGCCAACACCGCTCGATTCTTCACTTGCTATAATGTGAATCTCGTATTTTAATCCAACAACGAAATGTCATACTTCATTGTGGCCATACGAAACAATCAACATTGCGCTCTGATACCACTTTTTGTTAAACGGATCACAAGATAATGACAATAATGAAATAAAGAAAAAGAACACAAGAATTTACGTGGAAACCCAATTCGGGAAAAAACCACAGGCAGAAAAGAACAATCCACTATAACCAATAGTTTTGTATTTACAATATCAAAATTTCAATAATCTCAATTGAAATCAAATTATAATTATAATTAGGAGTTTGGCTTGAAGGAAGACTCTTGGATGGCTAAAGGCA